GTCTACTTAAAAAGTCAGAAGAAGATAAAAATAGCGAATCTTATGAGTTGGAACTCCTGTAGAATGTCTCAACATAGACAATTTTGAGGAGGTTCAAAATTCGCATTTGGTTGCTAATGATGTTTTCACAGGCTGTTTTGATCCTTGGGCTTGGTTGCGTAACTGCACCATGAGAGATCCGCCCAACCCGCCCACATTTGCGGCAGCAATTCATAAAATGTCAGGAAGAAACAAGAAAATAAGGAAGGGACGTACATAAGCGAAAACCACTGTCTGTTGGTACGTAACAAATTGCAATTCTCTCTGTAGCAAAGTAGTGACAATCGTAAGAACGTTTTACGAATGTGTATACATCGTACCCATAGTTGTTTGATTATCGCTAACGTTGCATCCAGATAACATGAATCGCAAAACACTTATGATGGAGGTGCTTGCAAAAGTGCAACTACTAGTTATAAAGTACGACGCCACGTATCTATTAATCCTATGAAAAATGGGATTTAAGGACGAATTAAGACATGCTACATGACTCATCTATTATCACAAGATAGACATTAGAGCTGTTTTATCACGAGCAGTCACAAAACATCGATACTAGAGTTGGAGATGAAATGTGCTTTCTCTATAGCCTTCTACTTTTTTGATAGGTCAGGTAAAATACAATAATCAAGAAAAAGCACGCAACAGAAAAATTCAAACCCTTATTCGCAAGCGCATCTAGAGATGAGCTCTATTCGAATCTAGATTGAAACAGCCAAACTCTAATAACCTCGTAAAGATCTTCAGAATAGCCCAACATGACGAAAACTTGTATCCGGACAACCCTTGTGAAACAAAAAAAGCACTCCTACATTTCCACCATGTCTGGCTAACAATGGCTTGTTTACCACTAATTCCCATAATTCTCAGAATACGTCGATAAGCAAAAAAATTACCTTGTTCTTCAATGACAGCATCGCAAATTCGTCTTATCTCTTCGAGTACTTCATGCCTATCTCCATCCATTTGCAGTGATGAGGTCTTTGGTGAATGGAACTCATCCTAAGAGCTAAACTGAAGAGAGAAGATAAGAGGATATGATATTACCAATTACCAGATATGTGGTTATATGGCTCATGGATGTGAGGTGCATGTCTGCGTGCTCCATTAGAGCACCCGATTCGTAGCATATGGAACATGCCCACCAAGGTTGAGCACTGAACGAGAAATGGAGTTCATGAAGACATTCCAGACCTAGAACAAGACTAAAAGATAGCAACCATATTTCAAAACCTGAAACACATTGTATATTACCGACAACTTGTTCACCGCAGGCAGTATATCTCTTCAAAAGGACTGAAGGACCACTAAAAGGGCCAAACTTTGGAATTTCCTTGGCGAAAAATTCGTACACGAGATGTTTCTGAATAGTGCAGATATGAGGGAATAATTCTGAGCATGAATCAATAATAACAACTTACTCTCCTATGTTTCATTTGATTCTCGTGCTTCTCTTTATCTTCACGAGATGGACAAGAATCCTGGCATATCTACAAACAGGTAAACAAACTTGAGGTACATCGTACTCTTTTAAGATAGGTAAATCGGCTGATCCACGTTACTCAAATTCTCAGAGCTTAATTTTTTAAACTCAAACTCAGTCTAGGGTAAGGAAGGGGCTAACGCGACACGCTCATCACGAGAATCATAGTCATTCCGCATAATTTACCTATACTATGGGATTGAGGTAGGTAGATCGTATTGTAGCATAAACACGAATTCGTCTGAAACTTCATCTGGATAACTTGACAACTAGCCTTTGCTAGAAAGAGTGCGTGATGAGTCCGCCCAAAATGCGTTCTAGCCAAACTACCGCGAAGCGCGCCGCAAGTTGAACTGATCTGTGCAAAGTGTTGATGTTTTACTATATTCTTTCTCTCAAAAAACTACTCTTTTCCACCAAGAATTA